AGGCTCCGAGCCATCAGCCCAGAGCCTGATGCGAGCCTGACGCGGGGCTCGAACTCACGGACCGCGAGATCGTGACCTGGCTGAAGTCGGACGCCCAACCGACTGCGCCACCCAGGCGCCCCAACTTTTCTCTATTTTCAAAGTAATCTTACTTTGCGAAAGATTTTTTTTTTTGGCTCTAAGAAATTTTCTTTAAGTCCTATGCCTCATCTCAGAAGTTAACTGTTGAGTTTTGTTTGGTAAAAAAAAACCAGACAAAACCAAATGTAAACAGTAAAGGCAATAACATGAACATTAAATGGTTAATGATCATAACCACAATTATGACTCCATAACTAAATTCCATAACCAAAGTTCACATTGAAAGAATAAAACAGCATAATAGCATTTTGAGTACCTCTAGGGAAATCTATTTCGATATCCAAATCTGGTTCATATGGTACATCAGGCATACTGGACTGTGTCTCTGGGTCAGAGTTCTTCAAGAGATCTGAACCAATTATGTCTGTTTCAATAATTACACCTGTAATCAATTCATGACATAATTACAAATCAAAACACCTATATTTAGTCTGTATTTAATCTGGCAAACAGTACTTATATTTAGTCTGGAAACATATATGAACAATATATAAACAAGAATAAACACATGTATTAATAGTCATAAAAGGAAAAGTTATATAGCCATCTTGAAATGTAAAATACTATACAATTGTTACATGATCATGAGTACACGGAAACTTTTAATCCTTTAAGTTTCTGACTGCCCCTCTTCAAAAGTTAATGATAGTAAAGCAATTCCAGTATGTATGTATGATATTTCTAAAAGCAATCTCTTGTCAAAAATAAACTAATGAGGGTGGATCACTGCAATTTTCAGCACTCTTTACGAACTGTGACCTAGGTTATCCATATCATTCAATTACAACAGCTTTCTAATGTTCTGATCAGTTGCTTTCAAACATTTTTGTATTGTAAGCCACAGTAAGATACGCATTTTATCCATTTTGGTGATAGCAGACAGAAAGACACACACACACACACACACACACACACACACGAAACAAAGGTTTCACAAAACAATACCCTTTCTATGAGATTAACAGTGACATTTTTCCCATTTCACTTCCTTAAAAAACAAAACCACTGTAACCACGTCTTTCACAAACAAGGTCACATTATGAAATAGAGAGAATTTATAGTGTTTCTATTGTACACTAGGGTAAAGTGAATTAGGCAGCTTATGGTTGAAATAGGACTCTACGTGTTACCAGAGGAGTAAGGGTAGGAATAAATATTCTAAGAGAATCATCCATGGCATACTCATCATATATACCATTTGGCAAGCACTGCCCTAACAGAAGTTGGGATAAACCCTTGTTTAGATAATGCAAGTTACTAAGTACAGCCCACAAACAAATTGGGGATAAGCATTACAATATAAGAGTGTGGATCATTATTAAAGCCGACTACAAGTTGTTTTTGTGTCTGAGGTAGTCCACTAAAACAGGAAAAATTCTGAGTTAGTTAATTTTAGAAGTCAAATCCTATTATAATTAAAACATGGACCATTCAAATTCCTGCTTGAAACTGGGCTTGACAGAAGAGAGCTTGTGGCTAGAGTATGGGTCTCTTCAAATACATCTTTGCTGCAATGCCTCCCCCATTCCCGTATCAAGTTGAAACTTAAGGATATGCTCTGGAACATACTTTAACAATTACAACCCTCTGAAAACCAAGAATACACTTATTCACAAAGTGAAATACAGAGCAGCTCACTGTTGATGTTGGCAGCTTCCGTCTTCCCCTCGTCCTCAGTCATCATATCTGTCATTGTAAGCAGCTCTGCATCAAGAGGATCTGAGGAAACTTTGCTTTTTAGCTCCTCAACTGCCGCAGGGATCTTCTCACTGTTGTCCAAGGAGGCAGGCAGAAAAACAGGAACCGGCACCTAGTTAACCAAAGTATTTACTGTTAAGTTTACTCCATGTTAAAACATGATTTTCCGGGGGCACCTGGTTGGCACAGCTGGTGGAGCATGCAACTCTTGATCTCAGGGTCATGAGTTTGTGCACCATGCTGGGTGCAGAGATCACTTAAAAATAAAATCTTTTCTTTAAAAAAAATTTTTTTTTTCAACATTTATTTATTTTTGGGGCAGAGAGAGACAGAGCATGAATGGGGGAGGGGCAGAGAGAGAGGGAGACACAGAATCGGAAACAGGCTCCAGGCTCTGAGCCATCAGCCCAGAGCCTGACGCGGGGCTCGAACTCACGGACCGCGAGATCGTGACCTGGCTGAAGTCGGACGCTTAACCGACTGTGCCACCCAGGCGCCCCTAAAATCTTTTCTTTAAAAAAAAAAAA